AGTGGGGTATTTTACGTGAGTTTATTATCCCTGTTTGCATGTCAGTCTATTCAGTGGGGTATTTTACGTGAGTTTATTATCCCTGTTTGCATGTCAGTCTATTCAGTGGGGTATTTTACGTGAGTTTATTATCCCTGTTTGCATGTCAGTCTATTCAGTGGGGTATTTTACGTGAGTTTATTATCCCTGTTTGCATGTCAGTCTATTCAGTGGGGTATTTTACGTGAGTTTATTATCCCTGTTTGCATGTCAGTCTATTCAGTGGGGTATTTTACGTGAGTTTATTATCCCTGTTTGCATGTCAGTCTATTCAGTGGGGTATTTTACGTGAAGTTTGTTAAGTTAGTTTATAAAATTGGCTTATTAAGGCATTTTGTTACGTAACATTATTTCGTCAGTTTATTTCGTCGGTTAATGCAATCATTGTTTTGTATCCCTGAGTGAAGGTGTGTCAAATAATCGATAAATTTAATCGATGGTGGTTTACATTTTTACTGAATTATCCTGTCCCAAAATCGTGCCATCACATTCCCCAATTCTGGTCGTGACATGTGGGTTCGTGTACATAAACGGCAAATCATGGCTCTACCTGTCGCACTGCGCGTCACACCTGAGCAATTTTAATAAGTCATTGTAAAATATGGGAACATTGCTTGCATAGGTTACCTGGCATTGAATGAGGTTTTAAAAAGGAAAATATGTGAAGAAAACTCGTGGGAGCCATTTCAACTTTAAAAAAAATATCTCTACAAACTTCTCAGCCTTAGTCAATATGTTTAGTTTTTTTTGTTTTTTTTTTTTTGAAGGGGTGGGTATAAATAGATCTAAAATCATATTTTTAATTGCTGGGAGATATTGAAAACTGCATGTGAAAATTTGCTATTGAAAGATTTTTTGAAGATTATTTTATTTCGGATATATTGCGTATGGAATATTTCACCTTTAGAGGTAAGGTTAAATAATGATTCATTATTAAAAGAATAGTGGTAAAATTTAGACTTTGCTGTGATTACATAAGATTAAAAACCAAGTTAAAGTAACAGACAGAGAACCATTGCCTATTACAGGGGATCTTATCAATGAAATAGCAAAGGCACAATGCATTCACAGATGTAGACTTGACACGAGGTTTTTGGCAAATCAAGGTGAAAGAGGAAGCTCAACACTTCACAGCATTTGTCACAAACAAGGTGAAAGAGGAAGCTCAACACTTCACAGCATTTGTCACAAACAAGGTGAAAGAGGAAGCTCAACACTTCACAGCATTTGTCACAAACAAGGTGAAAGAGGAAGCTCAACACTTCACAGCATTTGTCACAAACAAGGTGAAAGAGGAAGCTCAACACTTCACAGCATTTGTCACAAACAAGGTGAAAGAGGAAGCTCAACACTTCACAGCATTTGTCACAAACAAGGTGAAAGAGGAAGCTCAACACTTCACAGCATTTGTCACAAACAAGGTAAAAGAGGAAGCTCAACACTTCACAGCATGTGTCACAAACAATGGTTTTTATGAGTGGCATGTTATGCCTTGTGGACTAGCGAACGGTACTGCTGCTACATTTGTAAAAAGAAAAAACTGATGAACATGAAATTAAACTAGGTGACAAATATTAGACACCATGTGGATGGCCTACGTGTGTTCACTAAAGACCAAACAACACATCTAACAACTCGAACAAAGTTATTCTCATTATTAACAGAAAATTTTCTCATTATATCACATGACAAAATTAAACATTCGTCATCAAATATTTGAATTTTTATGGTTACACCATGGGAAATAAATCAAAGCCACTGGTGAACTTGCTAAGAAAATATTGAGTTTAGCAATAGCAGTAAATACAAAACAAGTAAGAACATCGAAAGAACTATTCAATTGCTACCTACAGTTCATAACAAATTTTGCACATATTTTAAACCCTCTGGTTAAAGTGACTTGGGAGGATTCGGAGGAATCATTATCAATGGTAAGATCATCTTTTGATGAACCCTGGTCATCATTCGGTTTAATGATATATCGAAATATGGATATTTGTAGCGATTTTAGTGAGTCACATCTTTTCTTTGTTGCGTTTCTCTGCTGGCAACCACTAGATCGATCAGATGTATGCATGGCGCCGTGTGGCATGACAGAATAATCATGAACAATAGAAATGCTTGAAATGAGTCGTGTTCAAAACAACAAACAAAATAATTACTTCAGACAGTTCAAAAACAACAGTCGGAGCACTGTTCAAAATACATTACAGAAAGGTGGCAGGTAAAACCAAGCAGTCGAAATATGACAATTTTGCAAACTATTAAATAGCGGTGCTAGTGACGAATCGGTGAATATATTAATTTTTTCAGTATTTCTGGGTTTCGATATATTTGGTTTCGTAACCTTTTTTTTTTTTTTAAATTTCAATAAATTTATATTCATTATTAAAAGATTTAATTTCTTTGTGTAAAATATTATTTTTTAAAATATTATTTTTTAAAATATTATTTGTTAAAATATTTTTAAAATGGGTAATGAAACATTTTGTAAATGTTTTTAATTTTTAAAAACAAACAATAAAAATATGACAATTTTGAAAACTATTAAATAGGGGTGCTAGTGAGGAATAGGTTAATATATTAATTTTTTATGTATTTCTGGGTTTCGATATATTTGGTTTCGTAACCTTTTTTTTTTTTTTAAATTTCAATAAATTTATATTCATTATTAAAAGATTTAATTTCTTTGTGTAAAATATTATTTGTTAAAATATTATTTGTTAAAATATTATTTGTTAAAATATTTTTAAAATGGGTAATGAAACATTTTGTAAATGTTTTTAATTTTTGACCAATTCCATTCATGTACTTAGAATCACCTGACCACATCCTACTTGGTGTCAATGGAAAATTGACTTGCCATCGTTTATCCTTTCATGACATTCGGTTAAACCGAGCAGTGTTTGGTAAATAGGCAATTTTTCAATTTGGTGTTGAACCCTGAGATGGTGTCACCTTTGCGGTCCGCACCCCACAGACCCCCTAGCTACGCCACTGTATTTAAGTAAATGTTTCAGGATTATTATTGTAAGTTGGGGATACATTTAACACAACAATTACAAAACAATTTTTATCATTTTAAACGAATTTGAAAGTTAAGATATTATTTTTACCATCAATAAATGGTCATCATTCTAAGTATTTCTTACTCTTATTAATTCGTATTCACAATTGTTTTATCGTGAATACTCAAAAGCATCTATTAGTTTTATTGCGATGTTAATGTTGCGAAATTATATTATAATTATACGTGAAAAGAAATCGGTAAATATTTTCTTTAATATATTCTTTACTATAAGTAAAGTTCTTGAAACATAGAGTCTACATTTTTTAGACTTAAAATGTTTCATTAAAAACACCGACGAGTGTTGCAGCCATAAATATGGCTTAAGAGATTCTTCTTATATTAAAGAATACCGTAGCGAGGTTTTTGGTTAGTTTTTTTTTTAAACCTTTAATGACGATACCAATATATCGAATTCCGTATGTGTAAAAGAAATTTCAAAGGTTTATACATTTCTATGTTAAATTTAAGAACATGTTTTGACAACAACAAAAAATTGTGCTTCACTGGATAAAATAAGGGTGAGCCAACATGGTATAATAGATGGATAGATAAAATATTACAAATGCCAACCCTAATATCCTGGTAACATTGGGTCATATATTCTAGTATTTTATATTTATTGTTTGTATCATACAGAGTGTAACGGCCACAGGGGAACTGGCCAATGAGAGTGTTCGATTGGATTAATGAGGAGAAGAAATCAATAATGGTGAAGTGAACAGAGAGCGTTAGTTTATGCATCAAGATTCTTTTAACCATATTTGAAAATTTAAAAAAAAAAAGGATTAAATTATAAAAGTAAAATATGAATTGAGGTTTGCTGATGTGATTCGAAGTATCTTTATAGATCTGTGAAACCTATTTATTGATGAGGATATCGCGAAGGTCGGCATTACGATTAGTCACTGTTAGAAGGATCGTCGAGGTTATCATTTGTAACAGAATATAACAGTGATACGTACATCATAAATTATTATTGTGTCTCAATAAATACACGTGAACATAAATAATTATTTATTATTGAGAACAAAAAGGCATTCATTCATTTAGTAAATGATACAATTTATCCAACTACTTTTTTTTTTAGATTTTAAGAAAATACACCATTGACAAACTTTGAAAACTCGTAGTTTTTTTTTTTTTTAGATTCTTTTTTTAATAGGATAATAATAAATAATAAAAAATTTCATTTCAAAAACATCAAAGAAAATATTTAAAATCTAATGTATTATTTAAATTATTTTTTTTTTTTAATCTTAATTTGTAGGCTAATGCCAAAAAAAAAAAGAATTAAAAAAAAAAAAAAAATAGTATTTTTTTTTTTTTTTTAGATTCTTTTTTTAATAGGATAATAATAAATAATAACAAAGTTCATTTCAAAAACATCAAAGGAAATATTTAATATCTGATGTATTCCTTAAATTATTTTGTTTGCCTAATCCTAATGTGTAGGCGAATGCCAAGAAAATAATGAATTTAAAAAAAAAAAAAACATATTCTTTTCTTTTTAACAATGGGGGCTTTTACGCAACATGTGTTGCAAAATCGCTGCATCAAACTCAGAAATACAATATTGTAATTGTAACAATTTGTTGCAGTGACATCTCTGAAATTATAGTGAGCCATGGGTTTTAAGAAATTCAATGAAAAGTGAAGTTAATTTACCCTTTCTTTGTTTTCACGTGAGCGACTCCAGCAGAAACGAACACAGAATAAAGAACAGCCTGGCTTGAGATCGACCCTACAAATTTATAGCGGCTCCGCTATGCCATCTATTAAACCTTCGAATCTCGTCATACTGTTATTGTTGTTCGGCTCGTGTCGTCCCGGCAACGCTCAGACCTACTCGCAAACTAACTCCATCTTCAAGGATAAGCTGGACGAGTCCGTTTACAACACAGACATCAGACCCGTGCTGGACCAGTCCAAGATGATGGAGGTCCGTGTCACCTTCTCTCTGGTTTCAATCGTCGAGATCAATGATGTGGAACAAAGCTTTCTGATCAACGGCTTCCTTAGCTTCACGTGGACGGATGAGGTGAGTAACTGTGTATCTTAAAGTTATTTTTAAAAGCAATTTGTAATATTATTTTTTTGTTAAATATTAAAAAAAAAAAAATGCACGTATACCGTATTCTTGTCAGTAGCTGTGAATGTGTGTGACACTTACTTCAGGCACAATAACACTATTTTAATAATTCATTTTTAATTAATTCACTTTTCAAGATGTTCATACTTGTCATGTTCAACAACGACTAAACAAATAATTAAAAATATATATATATATATAATTTTAAAAAAAAGTTTTTATTTTGAGATTCTTTCATGTTTCCGTAGCGAAAATCACACATATATATTTTTTTTTTTAAATTCTCGACATGTTCGATATTACCCCAGATAGTGGCCTGGAACCCCAATGACTACGGGGGTCAGGTGGTCATCTATCCAATACCAGAAAAAATCTGGCGCCCTCGAATTATCCTGATGAACACATTGGCTGACAGAGATCTCTTTGATGACGACAAAGCGTAAGTTTTCTTGACCTATAAACAGGAGATGTATTAAACGAAATAGCAAATTAATAAAAAAATAAAAATAACTGAAATAGTCTCCTCTAATGTAATCCAATTATACAAATATGACTTGATTTATATTTTTAAAAAAAAATATCTATCACCGAAACCCTCTGTTTACTGTTGCTTAAAATCAACATGAAATTAGTCTGACTAGAGGAAGGGTTTGTCTGTGTTGCCATGGATGAACTTCGTTGTCATTGCTGTCTTATGTCTTATGCTCTTATGTCTTATGTCTTATATAAAACAACAATGTAACAGCATATTTACATTATACAGTAAGTGAGTTGAGTCCTTCGTGCAGCTTTCAAACATAACGCATACATTTAAAAAAAACAAAAAACTGTCATGCGCAAAGGTATAAAGGGTTCTCTATCCTCGGGGTACTTCTGACCACTATAACACGTCCACGAAAATAGTCCACACACCGGTTATTCGGAATGGTGTAACCTCTGTTGTCTGTCCGTGAGTCTGTCTACCATAACAGCTATGAGATGCTAATAATCAAACACGAAACAGCCCTAATGTTTTTATTATTGATTTGATCTCATGCTTTAATTTTGGGACTGGTGGTGGAAATCGATTAGCAACAGACAGTGTTAGGAGGGACTCGTATCATGGTAGGGGTATTACAAAAATATAACTAATCCAGACAAAGCCGCCAAAGTGACCCTGCGGAAATTATGGATACATTATAAATAACAAAGACATTTCTTTTAAAACAAAAGCCATTATTTCTTTTGATTTTCTTCTTTTTATAAATAAACCTCTGTCAATTTTTTAATTTGAGACAATTTTTTTTGTAACACAGACCAACTGTTATGTTATCCAATGGTGAAACTGGTTGGGTACCCGGAAGTCTGTTCCCTACTTCCTGTGAACTCAATTTAACCAATTATCCGTTTGACCGTCAAACCTGTATCATAGAGGTGAGGAAATATACATCTTAAGTCGATTAGAGAATAGATTATTATCTACTCAAGTCTATTAGAGAGTAGTTTATTATCTACACAACAAAATTATCGCTCTATTGATTATTTTATGAATAAATATCGTTTAAAAATTTTTGCTGCAAAAATAATAATAATAAAAAAATGATTTCATACATTTTCGCAGTTGCCTGTTATATTTATCAAATTATATTACAGTAATATCAAACTCACATCGTCAAAATTGAAAATCAAAGTAAAGAGTAATATACTTTTCTGTTTCACAGCTCTCATGTTGATATTTACATTATCCCATGTTATGATCGTTCTGGGTATATTACGATAGCTTTGAACTTAAATTAAGATTGAGATCATATTTCATACTTGCAGGTCAGTGGTCATGAAGGCCTTTACTTGTTACGTCACCCAAATACTCCCCCCCCCCCAATCTGATTAGCATTGATGGGGATATTTTATTACTCAGAGTGTCTCCCTTACCATGACGTGTTGTTACTGGTCTGATACGTCGCTTTGGCCGAGCTAGTTGTTCAGACATGGTAATTACGATAGCTTTGAACTTAAATTAAGATTGAGATCATATTTCATTCTTGCAGGTCAGTGGTCATGAAGGCCTTTACTTGTTACGTCACCCAAATACTCCCCCCCCCCCCAATCTGATTAGCATTGATGGGGATATTTTATTACTCAGAGTGTCTCCCTTACCATGACGTGTTGTTACTGGTCTGATACGTCGCTTTGGCCGAGCTAGTTGTTCAGACATGGTTCAGTGACCACGGACGAATTCGAATCCATGCACTTCATTTTAGGGTTAGGCAGAAAGTGTTAGAGAGTTGCATCAGGCTTTCCAAAGTTGTATGTGAAATATTTTTAAAAAAAAATAATTGTTGTACACATCTTTCATCTACAGCTAGTGGCTATGAGATATATCACTGAGCATCTGCAGTTTGTCGCAGCCTTTCCCAACATTGAACTAAATTATTTCATCACTAACGGGGAATGGGAACTACAATCGACAGAGCTGATCATCAGAAACTTTAGTACAGGCGAAAATTCAGCTCTCTCTTGTGTTCAGGTATTCTGGAACTAGAATATTTTATTTGCTTTTGGTGTCGAAAGATTTTCTTGATTTGAAGACGCTCCACATAACATCGTATTTAAATGTATACAAAATAATTATCTACTCCAAATTTTCTTGCAGATTATTCGTTTAAAATGCCGTTTGACCAAATTGGATTTCTCATATTGGTTAAATGTGTATATGAAAATGAATGTGACAGCTTCCAAACGTTCCTACTTATATTAAGACATTTTTAGTATTATTTAAATTTATATTTTGGTGTGTTTTAAAAAAAAAAAATAATAATTCTTCTTTCCAACAAGAGAATGAATTCATTTTTTCCCAGCCAACTTTGATGATGTAAAATTTACCTTTATTCAATTAAAAAAAAAAAATTAAAAAAATATATTTTTTTCAGATGAAATTTTTCCTAAAAAGGCGACCAGCTTTTCTTATACTCAACATTATTTTACCAGTTGTCTTCCTTTCATTTCTCAACATTCTCGTCTTTGTCATTCCAGTGGAGTCAGGGGAGAAGATCGGTTACGGTAAGTTATGGTTTTGTTGACATCAAATATTTAAATATCCAGAACCTTGATTTGCCAAGAAGTATTAGTAACCTGAACCTTGATTTGCCAATAAGTATTAGTAACCAGAACCTTGATTTGCCAAGAAGTATTAGTAACCTGAACATTGATTTGCCAAGAAGTATTAGTAACCTGAACCTTGATTTGCCAAGAAGTATTAGTAACCTGAACCTTGATTTGCCAAGAAGTATTAGTAACCTGAACCTTGATTTGCCAAGAAGTATTAGTAACCTGAACCTTGATTTGCCAAGAAGTATTAGTAACCTGAACCTTGATTTGCCAATAAGTATTAGTAACCAGAACCTTGATTTGCCAAGAAGTATTAGTAACCTGAACATTGATTTGCCAAGAAGTATTAGTAACCTGAACCTTGATTTGCCAAGAAGTATTAGTAACCTGAACCTTGATTTGCCAAGAAGTATTAGTAACCCAAGAAATCATTTTATGACGGATATAAAATGATTGTCCAAGTATCCAGTTAGTTTCTTATATCAGTCGCTTTTAGACCCATCAGTCGTCAGGTTTCTATGGCAGGTTTCTGTGGGGAGTATCCGTGGAAGGTGTCTGTGGGAGTGTTTGTGGGAGGTGTCTGTGGGAGGTGTCTGTGGGCGGTGCCCGTGGAAGGTGTCTGTGGGAGTTGTCTGTGGGAGGTGCCCATGGAAGGTGTCTGTGGAGTTGTCTGTGGGAGGTCTCTGTTGGATGTGTCTGTGGGAGGTGTCTGTGGGAGGTGCCCGTGGAAGGTGTCTGTGGGAGGTGTCTGTGGGAGGTGTCTGTGGGAGGTGTCTGTGGGAGGTTCCGTGGAAGGTGTCTGTGGGAGTTGTCTGTGGGAGGTGTCTGTGGGAGGTGTCTGTGGGAGATGTATGTGGTAGGTGCCTGTGGGAGGTGTCTCTGGAAAGTGTATGTGGTAGGTGCCTGTGGGAGGTGTCTCTGGAAAGTGTCTGTGAGAGGTGTCTTTGGGAGGTGCCTATGGGAGGTTCCTGTGGGAGATGTCTGTGGGAGGTGTCAGTGGGAGGTGTCTTTGGGACGTTCCTGTGGGAGGTGTCTGTGGGAGGTGTCCGTGCAAGGTGTCTATGGGAGGTTCTGTGGGAGGTGTCTGTGGGAGGTTCTGTGGTAGATGCTTGTGGAAGGTGTCTATGGAAGTGCCTGTGGGAGGTGTCTGAAAGAAACTACACCATCATCTCACAAAGATGGACATGTGCTAACGATTTTAACTGGATAACGCTGGATAAAACTTTTTTAATTCCAATGCGTTGTCACAGAGCTGTTCTGACCAATGTCTGTTCTAAACTGGATTTTTGTGACAACTTTGGCTATATTGCTGTCATAGAAAATGTATCATGTAATCGAAAAAAAATATATTTCCATTAATTTGGATCAATAAAAGAATCTTATCTTATCTTATCTTAGTCATATTTGGTGGTTAGTACAGCGTCAGTAACATCGAATAATCAGTGGAAAAAACCACTCTAATGTATGACATGGGCATAGACTAATAGGCCTGAGACATATTTATTAACACCCTCTTATACTGTGTTACTTATTTACTTGCCAAATTTAGCAAATTCTATTTTGCGTTGCCCAAACGATATGGGAATCAAACCTTCATTTAGAAGTTACGGTTCGTTTCGGTCTTCAGCAGTGTTCGGTTCGGATCTTTCAGTTCAGTTTAAAATAACATAACGTTTTAATGTCATTTTACATGTATTCGTATTCAAACTTGACTCTACTCTCATGTACATCCTCATTACCAACTATTTACTGTCACCCAACTCCAGGAATTACTGTCCTACTGGCGCTGTCCGTGTTTATGAGCATTGTCAGCGGCATGCTGCCCAGGTCATCCTTAAACATGCCCAATGTCACCATCTACCTATTCTTCCTACTCTTCTTGTCCATGTTGACGGTCATCGACAGTATCATCATCGTCTACTTGCATCATAAGGAGGGGGTAAGTTAATTGTTGCTAAAATATAATATTCTCAAAAACTTCATTTAAAATGTGTTAAACGAAATATTTCTAATGTTTAGGATTGTGTTTACAGTTCTAATTATTTTCACAATAAACTTGTGCTGTTACATTTTTTTGAATAGATGTTCTGCGTACATAGATGAAATCCTCGCCCGCGATATTGTAGCATAAATAACACCCTAACCATCATAATGTACATAGCAAAATTAACTATGAGTAGTTTTTTTTTTGGTTTAAATATCTATTTTTGTTCTGAAACAGGAGGAAGCGACCCATCAAAAAGTCAAGTCACAGTTCAGGGGAGTGTTATCAAACGTAACCAAAATGCGAAATGTCCTTTCGGCATTTGACGTACCAGAAACTGAAAGCAAGCAAGACTCCGCTAGAAAAGTTCTGACGTCATTTGGATCAAATGCGTCATTATCGGACAATGTGAAGCAATCTTTGGACGAGAAGGGAAATAAGCGAGCAACAGAGGTGAAACAAGGGGAGCTACCGAAAGTCAACAAGTATAAACTAATTGGGAAACACATTGATTCAGTGTCGTTTGTTATTTTCTTGTTACTTTGGTTAGCTGCAACACTTGGATTTATGTTGGATATGGCACTCTCATAAGTTTATTTGTAACTTTGGTTAGATGCAATTCTTGGATTCATGTTGGAAATAGCCCTTTCATTAGCTTATTAATTATTTTGAACTAATGAAAAAAGTAATAAAAATAAAAATAAAATACAAATGTTCATTTTATTAGAATATGTCTACAAGTAAATGTTTGATCCTTTTTTTTCGAAATTAACCCTGTTTACATGTTTTCTTTTGAAATTTATAAAAAAAATTAGCCTGATTTATTTTTGATATTTTAAAAATTTGTTTTAGATTGATTTGTGACATTTTTGTTTCTATGTTTTAGTCAGCTATTTTAATTGATGCAGTGTGGATTGATTGGCAAAGCTTTGAAGTAAGATAAACATAGAAAAAATCAATATCGACAACAAAAAAACTCTTCTATAGTCAATAACGAGATTCACTGATTTGGTTTCGGTTTTCATTGATGAGTTGGGTCCTTCAGTGTGAACACAGTAACTTCATCTACACCTGATCGAAGATATATAAAGATATGTCAATGTAATATATCAAGGAGTTAAACAAAATACTATAAAAAAACGAATATACCTTATCTATAATCTGGTTCAATCAGAAATCAGTTTGTTCAGGTGTTTAACTATACAACGAAACTGGGTCGAAAAGTTTAGCTATGTTAAGTTTGTTTGCAAGAAAAAAAAGCTCTGAAGTGATAGCCTTCAACATACCTTTATCTACTATTTCATTGACACAGCTTGATCCATTATTTAGATTTAAAGACGATGTTGCATTGTGTCGCTGTAATGGATTTAAAGACGTCTAAAAAAAAATCAGATATTTGTTAGGGTCTATACAAATGTTTAAACCTGAACAAGCGTTGTGAAAATTATTGGGAGGGTGAAGAAATAGGACATTGTTGCACCCATGACACGAAAGAAATAGGACATTGTTGCGCCTATGACACGATCAAAAGCAGATTCCGAAAGGTAATTTAAAAAAATGAAGTTTAAATAGAAATTAAAGGTAATATCGTTGTTAAGAGGTTATAGATTGTATTTTGTTTTTTTCGCACCATAAAGACATATATATATATATATATATATATATATATATATGTGTATGTGTTATTCGTCAGTCGGGAGTCGACCAGATCATATTAATTATCAGAGTTTGTGCTGGTTCTGTCTGTGGGTGCGCAGATGGTTAATGAGGCCAATTCTGGTACGAAATTATCTTGTAAAGTAGGTGCAGGGGAATGATGGCGCATCTCCGGGAGCAGAGTCAGACCGGGCCTACCTGGCATGTCTCTTACGCTCTGCAGCCGCTGTTGTGCCAACGTCATGTTGCATGGAGCTCTTGTGTAAACTGGAACGCCAAGAAGCTCGATCCTTTGCCTGTTCCTCCCACGTGCAGAGGCGTAGCGAGGGGGGTGCAGGGGGGACAGATTCCCCGGGTGCCAGGTAGTTAGGGGCGCCAAAATGCGCTTTGATATTATTTTATTGATGAAAATAACCGGTTTTAGAGTTTAAAAAAAGAAAAAGGGGCGCTTTAAAATGGATCTAGTCGCCGGGTGCGAATCTTGTCTCCGGGCGCCAAACACCCTCGCTACGCCGCTGCCCACGTGTCTGGATTTACGTCGAACGCTTTCAGTGAGGCTTTTATGTTGTCTTTAAAGCGATTTTTCTGTCCGCCAGCAGACCGCTTTCCTTGTTCAAGCTCACCATAGAAAATTCCTTTGGGCTGGCGGTCAACTGACATTCTCACAACATGTCCCGCCCAGGGAAGCTGGGACTTCATCAAGATTGTGAAGATGCTGGGGAGACCTGCCCGTTTGAGCACCTCAGTGTCTGGGACCCTGTCCTGCCTAGTTGATATAAACATGATACATTTGTAGAGTGGATAGAGACATGATAATATTGTCTAGTACATAGTTATGATACATTTGTAGAGTGGATATAGAAACGGTAATGTTGTATAGTTGATATAGACATGATCAATTTGTAGAGTGGATATAGACATGGTAATGTTGTATAGTTGATATAGAAATGATCAATTTGTAGAGTGGATATAGACATGATGATAATGTGGTCAATACGCACATATTACAAAATCCTAGTCCTTGTTATTTTACAACTTCCAGGGACACCAACACCATCGTCACCTCACTCAAAACACCCCCCCCCCAACAAACAAACAAATCAACAAATCCAACCAACAACACCACACAAAAAACCACACACACACACACAGACAGACTTTAAAAACACATTAAGTCAAACTTTGTTGACTGAAATGTTTTAAGGTTGTTTTTTTATATTTTGATGTAGATTTTCTTCTAAATTATATCTTTTTTTTTCCCAACCAGTCTTCTAACTATATTTGTATTGTTAATTCAGAAGCCATCACTTCATTTATTAATTGTTTCCTCTGTTACTTAATATCTAACACATTAAAGATGTCTCCATCTGTTACTTTATATTTGATTGTCCCTGGTTGACAGATGACTCTTGTTATTAAATCTCAGGCGAACTAAGTACAAATTTAAAACCAATCTCTGAGGAAACTATTTGAATCCCTTTCATGACATTTGCGAATCATCCATAATAAAAATAAACTTTTTTTTTCTTTAGATTAGTTGTACATGGGCTTTTCTTTACCCCATAGTGGTATCAAAGTTTTTCTTTGTGAAAAGGCCAATCAAAAAAAAAAAAAAATTACTACTAAGACATGAGATATTTATTTGCTTGTAAACAAAATATAAATAGAATAAGAACTATTTCTCAATTAACATAGTTCAAGACGGTCGTTTACTAACTGAAGAAATTATATTCTTAGGCCGTTAAAGAGCCGCCTGCAGCTAGCGAGCCGCAATTTGCCGACCACTGATCTAATGTATAGCATTTGATGTGTTCTTCCATCCAGTTCTCGAGCCCATTCGATACCTATGGTCCTTTGAAAAAAGAAACACGGACATTTTCAAAAGTAAACATAAATTAAAGTTATATGTTCAAATGTACTAGTAATTTACCCGTCTACGAATAACTGATGTTTTCGTGCATTGTCGATTTTATATTCCCGGTCAACCTAAAAATTCTCTATATAATTATTTAAGCTAAAAATGAACTACTTTATTAACCCTGTCTCTCCCTCTCTCTCTCTCTCTCTCTCTCTCTCTCTCTCTCTCTCTCTCTCTCTCTCTTCCCTCTCTCCCCTCCACCCTATCTCTCACTTTTTTATTTCTTTGATGATTCAATGAACTCCTTTATTATCCCTGTCTCTCCCTCTCTCTCTCTCTCTCTCTCTCTCTCTCTCTCTCTCTCTCTCTCTCTCTCTTCCCTTTCTCCCATCCAGCCTATCTCTCACTATTTTATTTCTTTGATGATTCAATGGGGAAGGTGTCATTTCTTTGTTCTTAGTGGCATGCTTTACCAGCTGGCTTTTACTCTATACCGACTATCATAAACATACAACCTACTGGACTTCAGTGGCTTTTGTTGTTTTTGTCTTGCTCACCTTTGTTCTCAGGCTTCTTCAGAGGAGAGGTCAGTGGGTCTTAAGAAGCAGTTAGCTTTTTTTTCAGGTTGTTGTTAGAGAGTTTTCTTACCGTCACTTTCAGTGGAGGCCTTATTAAATTTAAGTAGAGATTCATTTAATCCACATATTATATCTTATAAGCATTAGGAAAGGATTTATAGTTTTTTTGGATATTACTAACTCTTGTAACTTTTAAAAGAGTATCCAGCGTCTACTCCATTAACCATTTGCTTGCACTAAACGATATCTGGTGTTTTGAAAAGTTTCAACTTGTTGGCTACAGTTTTTAAACAGTAAACCTGTGTTTTATGTAACTATTAAATGACTATTGTACAGAACAGGCGAAGCAGACGAGAATATTCGGAAAGTCGGTTTGTTGTTAGTTGATACGTCATGGTTGCCCACCCACCCAATGTCCCACTTGACCACCCATCCGATGTCCGACGTGCTCACCTACACACCCGATGTCCCAAGAAATTCCCCACCCGATGTCCCAAGGAATTCCCCACCCACCCACTTACCGGATGTCCCATTATCAATACATTTGAGAGTAAGTTTACCATTAACAAGGGGATTTAAAATGGTTTATAAAAAAAAGCAGTGTAAAGTTCTGGTTTACTTCCTAGTGCTTCGGTCCCTAATCTCTCAGGATTGAAATTTTCAGAGGGAAGAAGCTTCGTAAGTGCGTAGAGTTTCTCAGTTAGTTCTAGGTATGATGCGGATATCATGTATGCATCAAGTAAAGTCTGCAAATCTATGCTTCAACTCGTTCACTGACCCTCACTTTCCTGTCTATCTCTCTGAACTGTTGCATCCTTACACCCCCACAAGACAACTACGCTCTTCAATTGACAATAGAGCCCTCTCAATCC